GGGGGGCTCGGGGTGATCCCAGCACCCTCCGTGCCCCCCCAGGCTCCACATGCTCCTGATGCCCGGAGTCACCTCATGGCCCCCTTTGAAGGGGGTCATAGGCACCGCCAGGACCCCTGTGTGGGGAGCAGCCCTCTCCCCCCGCCCCAGAGCCTGCGCATCCCCCTTTGGGAGAGACCCCCTCGCCGCGGGGGCTGCATCCCCCGGGGGCTCGAAGCAGCTTCAGGTGCCTCAGGCTGCAGAGACTCCCCCTGACCTGGGGGACGGCGTGAGGGGCCCAGGGAGACCCATGAGGGGCCCATGGGCATTTGGGGATCCCTTGTCCATCCTGCCCCCACCCCCCTCCTCGCTAAAGATCCCACTACAATTTTCCCCCTTCCTGGTGGGAGATTCAGCAGCAAGAGCAAAAAATGGTGGGGATCGACCGCATCCATCCTCCCTGGGGTGGGATTCGCCCAGAGTATTTCCTCTTGACACTTAGAAAACAACTAAACTGGGCAAGGACGAGGAGGGGCTGCGTCTCCCCTCCCCTCCCAGGGGCAGTGCTGGATACTCCAGCCAACCCTTTGGAAAGATCTGGCTAACAACAAACGCCCTGGAAAGATTCGATTTCGTGGGCTGAGCAGCTCCGCGTGCTGCGGAACAGCGGAGCGCCCGTCAGGCCGCTTGCGAGCAGTAAGAGCAGCTTTAATGGGCGCTCTCGATCCCACCTGCCTCGGGCTTGAGCCCTTTCATGCTTCATGTGCCCATTGGTTCCATGCGGCTACAAATATTAGTCCGTTATTAAACATACACGTGATAATTGTATCCAACCATGAAAATGTTCTTACTGAGTGTTTCAAATGTTTTAGCTGTCAGAAATAAATACCAGAGAAAGCGAGTTGTCTGTCCCTAGCATCTCTCTTGCCAAAAGCTCCTGCGGGCACCTAAGCGCACTTTGCAGTGGGCATTTCTTGTTGCAGTTTTGTCTGGCACAGCAGTTAAGCAGATGTTAAAGCACAGAGAAGAATAGAGAAAGACTCTTTTGGAGCCGCTTGCATGTGGGCTCCATCGCGGTGCTTGCTCTAAAAACGTTCACATTTCTCAACCCTGTTCCGTTCAGGTCCATTTTGAAACCATATCGCGATTTCTGCCTGCAGAGCAGCAGCCAAAACCGCACAAGAGTGAAAGTGTTTCCGCAGTGAAGCCAGGCTGCTGGAGCAGTGGAAACAGTGCTAAACCAATAGGATTTCTGGAATTCACTCTTTTCTCTCTGGAGAGCTGGTTAGAACAATTTCTCAGATGTGTTTTGAGCATCTCTTTAATCAAACGGCAGACTGCAGCAATGCCAAGCAATGCTGAAACCATTGCTCTGTTTGCAGCAGCATAACCAGGAACCGATTGCCCTGACGAGGGAGGAAATACCTTTGCAGCAAGTGCCTGCTGCCCTCGGGTGGCAGCCGGTCCCTACTGCACAATTACAGGCTTTTTATTGCTCTTACATGACAATTTATCCAGCATCCACTTCGCTCGCGTATGCGGCCTTTTTCTAATGTAGAGTGAGCACGAAAGAACTGATAATCTCTGAGTAAAAGGATAGGTGGAAACGCAGAACATCGAGAGATTTATACCTTTAATATTAAGATTTTACATCTTTTCCTGCAGATATATTTTTAACTCAATTCTGCCTTTTTATGTCTTTTGTGTGTGTGTGTGCATTCTTTAAATGCTTTTTTTAAGCAGTGCTTCTTGGGGCTTTTGGTGTAGAGATATTCCAGCTCCATGTTACACCATGTTCTCTGACAAAATAAGGCTTGTGGGTTGCAGCTTTTTGTAGACTTAGCTGCTCTCTGTGACAAAGGGTGCTGCATCCTGACAGGAACAGGCTTTTTAAAGCCTTTTGATGTGAGATTTTTTGGCACATTCTTATGTTTTTTGCAGTGCTTTTTAAAAAAATATTTAAAGTGCTTGGACCTTTTTTTTTTTTTTGCCTCTATGCTTTAATAAGATTTGCAGCTGTGAATGTGCTTTAATAGAATTTACAGCTGGGCTGAAGTATCCCCTCTCTTAAAATAACACAGCAGCTTTGTGATTCAGTAGACTGTGCCTCTCACCGCTTGTTTTGTAGCTCTGAATGCTCTGGAGCGAGAGCAGAATGTGAGCAAAACCACAAGTGTTACATGTGGCAAAATAGGAAGCATAACCCTGTGGTTAAGGACTGGAGCCATAAATGAGTATATTTGGGTCTCGTTTGTTTGTTTGCCTGTTTTATTTTCCTGTGCAGTTTTTAACCTGGCAGCTCCTCAATTTTCCTTGTCTGTAAAATGAGGATAGGGAGATCTCGGAGTGTTTTTATATCATTAGGTGGTCACTTGTGAAGCACTTTGGGATCTTTTTGTATTAAAGCCAGCCTGGATTAGAAAGACGTCAGGTAGGAAATGGCGCAGGATGTGGTGTCACTGGAACTTCGAGGGTACCCTGGATCTTCTGTTTCTCAAACTGAAAAGCAGTTGGCAACTGGGGAAGCAGCAGGAGAAACGTGTTATCTTAAAAACTGACACAGCAGATTGTGGCTCTGGGCCAGCAGGTTTAACAGCTGATCCCAAAGTGTCAATTCAGAGGGTAAAGAAAGGAAAGCAGTGAGACTCCTCAAAGTGGTTAAATCTCCCAGGTAAGGTTTGCAGGGAAGCCGTGGAAAAGAGCCACCTTAGCATATGTAATTTCCTTGACAGGCAGATGCTCTCACTCTGGGGACCGGGACCTTTGCCAAAATATTGAAAAAATAGAGGTAGAGGGAGGGAGTTATGTAGATGTTGTGTCAGGAGGATGCTATCTTTGATCGGTGGAGGGTGTGTTGGGAGGCCTCTGTATCTGAGAAGGCAATTTAACCTCACTGTGAAACAGCTTGTGAGATCAGTACCATGGAAAACAGTCCTGAATAAAGGAGTTCTCTGCTTCCCAGGAGGAAACACAGGACAGGCTGCAGGAGGGAGAAGAGAAGAGCGTCTGACCGGCAGAGAGCCCCAGTCATGAAAGTGCTTGCATGTGTAATACGCTCAGAGACTACATTTACTTAGGTTTCTAGTAAGGCAGAAAGGTTTAAATCCCATTGAGCACACTGGAACTTGCATGTGAGCATAGATGTGGCTTGACTTGCTGGTGTTTCTGCTGAGAAGCCAGTCGGGAGGCTGAGGACACTGCTTTTGGTGTAGATGCTGGCCCCGTAAGCAGTGGGCTGAGGGTATGTGTTAGACTTCCCTCCTGCATCCTAGCCAAGGTTAAGAAGTCAGGGAATATTTTTTATAGGCAGAGTATTGAAGGCTTCTGCATCATCTCCCAGTTCCATGACCTCTTTCATAAGTGACTTGCTTGTTCATGTAGATTTCCTGCTTTCTAACTTTGTAAAAGTAAATAGAGGTGCTTGATTTACAAACATGGCTGAAGCCCAAAGGACTTTTCAACGTTTCTGCTCTCTGTTTATTGATCTAGGTTTCTGAAGCTGGAATTTCTCTGGCATCAGTGGCCTAGCGAGGCGACTTTCGAGCTCGGAATGGAGCTGGTGAAGGGGCAAGATCCCTACCTGCACGAGCTGCTGCGGTTTGCTGTGTGCTGCAGAGCCCTGACCCTCCTGCTGCAGGCAAGTCCCCGTTCCCAAGCCAAGGATGCTCTAACATCTTGTTTGCTATTCCAAGGCCTCTCTCTTTGGTACTGCCTTTTGCACCACAAGCTAGCTGGTTTTGCCTGATTGAAAAATGATCTCCTTTGGAGAGCCAAGAGACCAGCTGCATCCAAGGAGACAGGTTGCCGTTAAATAAAATTATATACAGTCCCTTATAACTTACCATGTTTTCATGCTGCTGATACAAGAGGCTGGGTTGGCAGCACAGCAGGCTGAGGTCCTTTGCTTATCCTCAGAGCAGGAGCAATAATCTCCCCCTGCACATTCTTCCCAAGCCTCCTTTCTAGAGACACCCCTCTCTGAGCATGAGCTGGGTCAACTAAGCCCAACCTACGTGTACCAAGGCAGCCAGCAAAGAGCCTGGCTGTAGCCACGGCCCCGGTGAAACAAAATCTGAAGTGAGAAAGATTTTGGTAGCAAGTCACCCACCAGCTGGCAGATGGTGACAGCTCTGTTAACCACCAGGTAGGGCTGAGTGGAACCATCAGCTGAGGCGAAAGACTCTGTATGACAAACACCAAGGGCCTGGTTAGTCCAGATGTGTGTGATTCATTGTAAAGTGTCAGTTTTTTAGGTCTTTTAGGCCCATTTCTAAATGTAGCTCTTCTTTTTTCTCCACCAACGCTGAATTAATTGCAGGGGGCTCATCACAATAAGCTGCAAAATTTACTGGCACAGTAGGTTCTGTGAGCACCCATGCTGGGTATCTTCCAGAGTTTTATTCAGTTCAGATGTCGATGCTCCCAAAGATATTTGCTAGACAACCTGCCGGCCTGAGCTCTGTGCCTTTTGAAACCTGAGGATCCTCTTGGGCATGGGGTTTCCAGTAGGATACAAGAGGATGTCTGCTGGTCTTGAGTCCTCCTTTCTTTTTCCAGGCTCTGTTTAACCTCCTGATCCCAGATCACGCTGCAGATGCCTTCTCTCCCCCTCGCCTGGTTGAGCCAGGCTTTTGTGACCTGCTCCTGGAAGGGCTTTTGGGAGGCCTCTCGCGCTGGGACGCAGAGCACTTCTTGTTCATCGCCGAGCGAGGCTACGTGTACGAGCACAACTTTGCCTTCTTTCCAGTGTTCCCCCTGAGCGTCCGTGCTGCAGCAGAAGTTGTCCTGTGGCCCCTGCAGCGGCTGCTGCGTTTGCGGAGCCGCCTGCTGCTCTCAGCTGCTCTCCTTAATTCTCTCTTTTCTGTCCTGGCAGCAGCTGCCCTGTACAAGCTGGGCTGTGCCGTGCTGCGGTGTCGCCGCGTGGCCTTCCTTGCGGCCCTTCTGTTTTGTATTAGCCCTGCCAATGTGTTTATGGCAGCTGCTTACTCCGAGAGCATGTTTGCCTTCCTGGCATTCAGTGCCATGTGGCACCTGGAGAAGGGGCAGAGCTGGCACAGTGGGCTGCTCTTCTCCCTTGCGTCGGGCGTGCGGGCCAACGGGCTCGTCAACATTGGCTTCTTTGCCTATTCCCGCAGTAAATGCTTTGCCCTCCAGCTCCAGGTGGGTCCGGGATTGGTAAGGAAGCTCCCTACATTGTGGAGGAAACTCCTTAGCTTGGCATCTTCAGTCATCTTCACGTGTGCTGGGATCTTCCTGCCGTTCGTGTTGTTTCAGTATTACGCTCACATGACGTTCTGTGTTCCTGGCACTGGCCTGTCGCAGAACATTCCCAAGCCGCTGCTACAGCTGGCTCTGGACAAGGACTATCGTCTAGCTGCTGTGGATAGGCTTAAGCCCCCTTGGTGTTCCCAGCACTTCCCTGTGCTCTATTCCTACATTCAGGAGGCTTACTGGAATGTGGGCTTTCTGAGGTATTATGAGCTCAGACAGGTGCCAAATTTCTTGCTTGCTTTGCCTGTCACAATTCTGGGCTTATGGGCTGCCTGGACCTACCTCACTGCAAACCCTCGGCACTGCCTAACTCTTGGTCTAGAGAGGAGAAGGAATGAAGAAGAACAAGGAGAGGATAAACCAGGAACTGGATTTTGCTGCCCCGCTGTCTTGGTGTACGTGGTCCACGCCACAGTCCTGCTGCTGTTCGGAGTCTTCTGCATGCACGTGCAGGTATGACATTCAGAGCAACACTGAGAAGGGACTACTTAAAGGGAGTACAGTGTAGGGGCTGAGGGACTCAGTGACACAGTCTGAAGTTCTCTGGGCTGTGGGACAGGCACAGGACAATGCAGACGTTGCTTCCAAAAACACTTCCGATCCTCTCTAGGAACTGTTCCCCTGTCAGTTTCCAAAACCATTTAGTTCCTCTTGCTTCCTGGAGAATTCCTCAAGGGAGGTTGCTTCATATGGTGAGGACGCTAGCACTTGGATCAAAGGTACCAGCTGGTTTGAGGCATTTCAAACGCCAGCTTGGCCAAGCCCTGCTCAACAGCTGTAGTGTGTGGGGTAGAATTTGACTAGATGGTAATGAAAGGATCTGGAGCCTGTTGCCAGTCCCTAGAAAGTGTTCCAGGGCCTTCCCAGGATACAGCTAGATCCTAAACATTGCGGGCAGCAGTGGAAATACAGGAAAAACAAAGATTGAATGTGGAGGTTCAAATCTCCTCTGAAGCTACTGCTACTGCCCACATCCTAAGCTGGGCTGTGTCAAGGATTTCAGTGATTTCTTGACGGTTTGTCCAAAACCTGGAGACCGTCTGTTTGCTTATGCAATTGACTTCATTAATCAAGCATCCTCGAGCTGAGAGATGGTTCATTCCAAGTGCAGTAAATCCTAACACCATGAAGTAGGGCTGTATTTCATGGCTCTTTATCGGTAATCTGTTTTGGGCAGATAGATTGTTCCTTCCATTCTGCAGAATTGGGGTTGGTTACAGTCAAAGACCTTCAATTTATGGGATTCTCTGCCTGTTCTCAGGTTCTGACCAGGTTCCTTGGCTCCTCCACGCCGATCCTGTACTGGTTTTCTGCTCACCTGCTTCAAGAACATGAACCTTTGCTCTGGAGTGAAGGGACTGATAAAGAAACCAGAGCATCCCTCTCTGAGAAGTCTGTTTTAGGTAACTCTCTTGCTGGCTCCTGTGAGAAAGGGATTTCTGAAAACCCCGTTGTGAGGTTACTGCGCAACTATAGATTAAACACCCCTATGACCAAATGCATCCTCGGATACTTCCTGTCCTACTGGCTACTGGGACTCGTTTTGCACTGTAATTTCTTGCCTTGGACATAGTTAGCAATTGGGACTATCTGTATCTGTGGGGTGGTATTGGGGCAGAAGTATCAATCAGTACCATCCTCTTTGCTGTGACTCTTAGTGTGTCCTGCTCCTGCTCTTTACTGATGGGCAAAAGTTCCTATGTTTACCGGGGACCAGGAATGTATTTCCATGATATCTTCTGTGAAGTACCGTCCCTGAACAATTATTTATGGCAAAGAACAGTTGCTGCCAGATTCCGAGCTGGTAGAAAACCTTGGGGAAGTGCCCTTGAAATCACAGCAACCACCACCTGCAGCCCAAGTACTCGCAGCCCCCGTGGGAGGACGCCGTTGTGTCGTATGTGTCCCTTGGACCTCTCAGGTTCCCCCCTTGCCAAAGTACTTGTCTCCATGCATCAAGCCGTGTGTCGGGGGACAGCAGCGCCGGCAGCAGCTGCAGGACGCGTGGAGTGGGGATCGCGGGGCAGTGCTGGAAGTGGGAGGACAGGGAGCTACAGGGGAAGAGGAGCTGGGGCGTGAGACCTGCTGGGGAACTCTAGGCACAACCAGGATGGCTACAGCTGCTCTCCAGGACTGCTCTTGAGGGCTTATGGAGGGGATTGGGCTGCAACTCAACACTTTATGGGATAGAAGCTGGAAGTTTGTGTGTCAGTACATGAATATCACCAATAAAAAAAGTAGATTTTACAGGAACCGTAGTTTGCTTCTCCTATGTGAAGTGACAATTCCCCCTTTGGCAAATGCGAGGACTGGAGCAGGCGGGAGGTGCGATGGGGATGGTCCTGGGAGAGGAAATGACCTCCAGGGAGCAGCAGTTTGTTTCCTGCTCTCTTCAGCAGCGGTGGGGAATCGTCCAAGAGAGCGTTTCAATTGTGCTGCCTGCTGTACAGCAGAAGGCAGGAGGCCCTGTTTCTTCCCATCCTAGGACCACCCTTTGCATCGAGAATGTGGAGCTCAGCACACACAAAACTCTTTGAGGCCTTTGCTGTGGCAGGGGAGACCATTTTTGATTTTGGCATAAAACGTCCTTCCTTGTGAGAGTCATCATGCGGAAAGGATCTGCTCTGCCATCGGGTAAAAATGTTGGTGTTTGTCGCCACTTCTGTGTCCTTTATCTCTTCGTCTCTGGATGATTGTCCCAGCCTGAGTCCCTTTGGGTGCTGGCTCAGAGCTTGCAAAATCCAAGCCCTGCTAGCAGTGCCAAGGGAGCCCCCCTGCCCTGGGAAGCCACGTGCTGCTCTTTCTTGAGAATGTCCTTGCACAGGCCGAGCAGCTCGTCCCCCTCCAAACTGCCCGGCACAGGCGCAAGGTGTCCTTGCGTGTGTGCGAGGGGGGGTCATCGCTGGGCTCTGTGTGTGCGTGTGTCAGGGGGTGTCACCACAGTTCAGTGTGAGCATATGCAAGGAGGGTGTTACCACAGGACGGTGTATGTGAAGCTGTTTCACCACAGGTTCCGAGTGCGTGTGTAGGGGTATTTTACCACACGACTGTGCGTGTGTGGGTGCACAAGGGGGGTGCCACCACAGGACAGTGTGTGTGAGAGCGGGGTTCACCACAGGACGCACCACAGGCCTCTACGCACGTGTGCGGGGGTGTTTCACCACGCGACTACGCGCGTGGGTGTCCGCGTGTCGCTGCCCGCCTGCGAGCGCAGCTCCCGGCT